CGGGCTGCGCTCGCCCGCCGCCAGGTAACTCGGCTCCAGCTCACCGCGTCGGGTGCTCGGGGCCGCGCAGTTAATGAGTAACGCGCCCGTGCCGGGGAAGGGGGACCGGGGAGGAGCCGCCGCCCGACGCCCACCAGCGGCCCGGGGGGAGCCCGTCTCAGCCGCGGTGTCGAGCAGCCCACATCCCGCCGCCGGGGGTCCCGGAGTCCTAGTGCCCAGCCTGGGAGAGCGCTCGCCGGGCCGAGCAGCCCCCGCCGAGTCCCCGCGCGCCGCACCCTCAGCCGCGCCGGCACCTGCACCTGCCGCGGCCGCCCCTCCCGGCCGACTCACGGGAGGCGGGCGCGCGGGCGCTGAGGGGGGCGGTGCTCCACACCCCGGGCCTCTCCCTCCCGCCGCCGCACTCACCTGACGAACCCACCGCGGCCGCTGCCCGCTCTCAGAGGCGCTCGCAGAGCCGCACAGAGCGCGCCCGGAAGCAGCGAGAGGCAGAGAACGACTACGGGCCGAGGCCGCTACACTCCGCCGCGGCGGGCGCACTGCGCTGGAAGCCGCCACGGGAACGCGGGACTGCGCCTGCGCTGGGAGCGGGGCCGGGGGCCGAGAGCCGGGAGCGGCCCGTCCTCGAGGAGGGAAGGCGGGGCTGGGGGCGGGGCCGGGCAAGGGCAGGGCGGGGCCGGCGTGGGGCCGGAGGGGCCGACGCGCTTCCGCGCCCCCTGGCGCCAGACTGGGCTCGTCGCAGGTGCTGCGGCGCGGGCCCCAGGTTCCTACGCGGGCCCCAGGTTCCTACGCGGGAGGTTTCCTTGGGAACCAGCGGAAGCCGGCTCTGAGAGATGCTCCGTGGGCTAGAGAGGCGGCCAGGGTTAACTCCGAGTATGTTGGGCTCGGTAGGAGTGGGAAGAGGCACGTTTTCCGTGAGTTGAGGACTGCTGGAACCGACCTGAGACTCAGCGTCCATTTATACGTTACAAACGTGTGTGTGTGTGTGTGTGTGTGTGTGTGTGTGTGTGTGTGTGTGGTGTGGCGGGGGATGGGAAGGGGAAGTCTCATCGAACCCAGATCCATCATTCCAGCAGCTGCCAAAGCATTCGAGAATGTTGTTTCTGTATCTACCATCTCTCATCTTTTGTGTCAACTGCTTTATCAAACTTCCACCGCACTTTAGGTCCCCCAGGTAGGAAAAGTGAAAATACAGAAAGAACCAAGCTCCTAAAATTCTGACAGAAAAAGAGGTAATCGCCATATGTGTCTCTGGGTTTAGTAAAAGAGACATTCAATTTATGTGATACACGTTTTGAATAGGACCATCATTCTGTGTATTAATCACATCTGTTAGAGGCAGTAAAGTATGCTATTGGAATCAAAAATCTTGGGTTTGAATCTGCCACCTATTAGCTGTGTGATCTTGGTTAATCTCTGATAGACCCAATTTTCTCATCAGTAAATGGGTATAAGATCCGTTCACTGAGCTCTGAGTAGTTGAGAGTTTAAATGGCTTAATACTTGTAAACAGTGCACCGCATGACAGAACATGCCTAATGAATATTAGCTATTATTAATAAAATTACTATTATCATCTGCCTATAATCTCACCAGAAACCTAGGAAGTCATTTTTTATTCATTTATACCCCATCTCCATATGTCACCAAGTCCTACCTATTCTAATTCCCAAATCATTCTTAAATCTATCTCATATTCATCGCCACTAGATATGACCTTTCTCATTATGGCCTCCTAACTGTTCTCCCTAACACCGTGTAGTTGGTCATTCATTCATAAGACATTTATTGCACTAAATCTCTATGCCTGCTGCTAGACATGGGGACAGTAAAACCCTTACAAAGTCCTCACCATCCAAGGATTCAAACATAAGGAGACAAGTATGTCGATAATAACTAAGTGGAATGAATAAATTCAACACACAGCAAACCACTTGGATTCCCCAGTCTTGCCATACTCTCATACATCCCTGTCTTTCTATATGCTATTCTTCTTTCTTGTTATGTCATGATCCCCTACCTTTTCCTTTCCTAGCTAATTCTTTATTATCCTTCATCATTCATTCCAGTCATCAATTCCATTGTGAGCCCTTCTCTGTTGTTTACCACCTACCCCTAAGCCACTCACCCCAGTATGGGATAGGTGCCCCTAACTTTGCACCCACAGCACCTTATTTCTTTCTAAAACTTATCACAAAGCATTATAATTATAGTTTTATTTCTCCATTTTCCTAATTAGAGCTTCTTGAGAACAGGCACAAGGCCTGACATGCAGTAGGACTGGCTCAATAAATGCAGAATGAGTTAATGGCAGACTTGCAGAGTGCACTGTCTTGGTATATGCATGTTTAGAGCACACGTCCTATGATATATTCTACATAAGACCTAAGACATCATGCATCTACAGGAAATAGTAAGCAATAGCCATATGCCTGAATCCTGCATTGGTCCATTTACAAGTCACCTACCATCTACAAGGCTCTTTGGAATATACTCAAAGGTGTTTTCTCTTGAGTACTTAACCTGCTAACACAGTTTGAGAATGTGAAGAGTGATAGATAGTTACATATAACAACACTTCAGTGCCCTTGCAGCAAGATAGATTACAGAATGTTAGACACTCAGAATCCCAGCCTACAAAATATACAAAGTGCTGTGAGCATCCTAAGTTAGATTGCTTACCCATATATCAAAGGGACAGACACTTCAAAACTTCAAAGATATGATAAATTTTATAGTGTCAAGTTTGCCCTTTTTTCCCCTTTGTTAAAAAATAAA